TAATTACTGTAAATTTAAATATTTTAAAACATGCTTCGATGTGCATATACATTGCATTTTAACAATTGACTAATTAAATTTGAAGATCAGGTGTAACGTGTAAATTAATTTTTTGTAAGAAAATTTTGAAAATTTAGTAATATCTCTAAATGTCGTCTTTCCGAGCTCTAACAAAAAAATTCCTTGCAAATTTTTTGTATATACTAATACTAAGTCTCAACTAACAGCTAACCGCTAACACTAACCCTAATTCTAATCTAGTATTAATTTTTACGTATATAAAATTGGGTTGATATTTGTTACACAGGTCTACAAATTATAATTTATATATACACGATAAACTAGCATATCGCAGGGGCATCGTTTAATTTTTGAGCATAGAATATGCATTAATTACAAAAATTATATGCACTTAAAAGAATGCATTATTTACTTTTGCTATTGCTGCATAAAATCATCGTCTCTGCAACCTTATTTATTCAGTTTTTTCGCCTAAATTAAGAATTTATCTCCGATCAATTGCGTGGGACAGTTGAAAACTCCCTTAGCACTTTGTTTTTTTTAACAAAATAGCACTCGGGCGCTTTGTATAACATTTAGATTATTCTCATTTCTTTACTAAGTTTTCCTCATTTTACTAATTTGCATTGCGCACTTTTCTTTTACTAAATTTGCATTGCTCTGTTGACTAAATTGGTTATTGTGCGACGTAAGTCTTTAAATTTACACCACTTGATCCTTAAAATTCAGCCAATAAACCCCATCCTAACCATGCGAGACTTTGCTATATACAGTACCATCTTTGTAACTTGTCAAACGAGTAATTACTGTATAATAGATAGTGTCTTTATATTTCGCTTAATATCGCTTGAATTCGCTTGAGTAACAATTTACAAATATGAATTCTATTTGTAACTTACAATACAAATAGTCTAGGAATGGTCTAAAAAGATGGGGTTTATTTATTCTTTAATGCATTTACATACATAACGTAGTCTTGCATTAGAGGATGAAATTTAGGAAGCTCACTGCATTGCGAGCATTGAATTTCCTTTGTACCACTAACCGTTTCTTTCACTGCATACGGCACTCGGCGTGTCAAATAAATGTTGGTAATTTTTGAAACTCTGTTTATATATGCATGTGTTGCATAATACATGCGATTTATTACGTAAAAGAAATGTATCACACCAAATGGCCAACGATAATAATGCATTGCTCATATTATTAATTATGCATTTCGTGATATCTATAAATTGATAACGGATTCGCCTTTTTTTTTTCTTCATTCCTCTTTATTCGAAATAACCTTTAATATATCCTCTAATTTCTCCCAAAACAACCCTTAATATTTTCGAAAAAAATCCTACTTAATATTTTCTCTTAATTTCTAAAGAAATCAACTTCAAAATGTCGAAAATTTACTTGCTCTTCGTTGTTGCTTTAGTTTTTGCTGCCCTTAGCCCTGTATTCACCCTGCCTTTGAATGAGCGTCAGGGTATAGTTCTATAATTTATTCAGGACTATTAGATTTCTGATCGACCAATCAAAAATTTTCTCATATCTTGATGAAATTAGCTGATGTTAAATTTTGAGCATTTTAAAATTCTAGCATCGGCTAATTTTGCCATCAGTTGCGACAATTGTCGTTATGATCTCGTAATTTATTGGCCGATAAGAGACGTGATAAAATGAAACGCAACCACTAATTAATTATATGTAATTGAATATTAATTAAATCCTTAGAGCCTAGTAGTGAGTATAAAACTAAGTTATAAATTTAAAATTTAATAATTAAAATCTTATTAATCTAATTAATTATATATATAAATAATTAAAAATACAGATGATTGTGAGTAACGAAATCAAAATTTATAATTCATTAAAAAAAAACTTCACTAATCAATTATATATGAATTAAATTATTAGTAACTTGTACTGGTAAGTATCAAGCCAATTTATTAATTTAAAATTTTATTAATTAAAATTTTATTAATCTAATTAATTATATATATAATTAATTAAAGGTGGTTAGTAACGAAATCGAAATTTATAATTCATAATTTTTAAAAAAAAACTTTTCTAATCAATGATATACAAATTAAATTAGCGAATGGTTTGGCTGCTGGTGAGTATAAAGCTAATTTATAAATATAGAAATTTAATAATTAAAACGTTATTAATTTAATCAATTATATATATAAATTAATTAAAATTTCAGAATGTGAGTACGAAATCGAATTTATAAATAAAAACTTCACTAATCAATTATATACGAATTAAATTATTAGTGACAAACTGTGCTAGTGAGTATCGAGCGAATTTATAAATTTAAAATTTTATTAATTAAAATTTTATTAATTTATTTAATTATATATATATTAATTAAATAAAGATTGTGAGTAACTAAATCGAAATTTATAATCCATAATTTTAAAAAAAAACTTTACTAATCAATTACATACGAATTAAATCATTAGTCGGTGATTTGAGTGAGTATAAAGCTAATTTATAAATATAAAATTTTAATAGTTAAAACATCATTAATCTGATTAATTATATATATGAATTAATTAAAATTTCAGTCAGTAAGTACGAAATTGAAATTTATAATCCATAATTAAAAAACTTCACTAATCGAATTAAATCAATTATATATAAATTAAATTATTAGAGAATCCGGGTGAGCATAAGAATAATTTATAAATTTAAAAAATTTTTAATAATTAAAATCTTTTTAATATAAATTAATTTATAATCCATAATTTAAAAAAACTTCACTAATCAATTATATACGAATTAAATCAATTATATATGAATTAAATTATTAGCGACTTGTGAGGGTGAGTATCAAGCTAATTTATAAATTTAAATTTTAATAATTAAATCTTAATCTAATTAATTATTTAAAGGTGTCGGTGAGTAACGAAATCGAAATTTATAATTCATAATTTAAAAAAAAAATTCACTAATCAATTATATACGAATTAATTATTAGTGACTGGGGATTTGACTAGTTTGCCTAATGTGTCTCTTGGTGAGTACAAAACTAATTTATAAATATAGAATTTTAATAATTAAAATATTATTAATCTAATTAATTATATATATGACTAAATTAAAATTTCAGCATGTGAGTAACGAAATCGAAATTTATAACTCATAATTAAAAAAAAACTTCACTAATCAATTATATACGAATTAAATCATTAGCGGGTAAGACGAGTGAGTATAGGTTAATTTAAAAAATATATAATTTTAATAATTAAAATATTGTTAATCTGATTAATTATATATATGAATTAAATTATTAGCAGTTACTACGAGTGAGTATAAGTTAATTTAAAAAATATAGAATTTTAAAATTAAAATATTATTAATCTAATTAACTATATATATGAATTAATTAAAATTTCAGCATGTGAGTACGAAATCGAAATTTATAATCCATAATTTTTTAAAAAAACGCTAATCAATTATATACGAATTAAATCAATTATATATGGATTAAATTATTAGTGACTTGTGAGGGTGAGTATCAAGCCAATTTATAAATTTAAAATTTAATAATTAAAATCTTATTAATCTAATTAATTATATATAAATTTAATTAAAATTTCAGAAAGTGAGTATGAAATCGAAAAATATAATCCATAATTTTAAAAAAAACTTCACTAATCAACTACATACGAATTAACTATTAGAAAGTGAGTATAAAGCTAATTTATAAATACAGAATTTAATAATTAAAACGTTATTAATCTAATTAATTATATATATGAATTAATTAAAATTTCAGCATGTAAGTACGAAAGCGAAATTTAAATCTATTATTAAAAAAACTTCACTAATCAATTATATACAAATTAAATCAATTATACGAATTAAATTATTAGTTAGATGTACGAGTGAGTATCAAGCTAATTTATAAATTTAAAATTTTAATAATTAAAATATTAATCTAATTATATATATATATCGATTAAAGTTACTAAAGGTGAGTAACGAAATCGAAATTTATAATCCATAATTTAAAAAAAACTTCACTAATCAATTATATATGAATTAATTATTAGCGACTGGTGAGAGTGAGTATAAAGCTAATTTATAAATATAGAATTTTGATAATTAAAACATCATTAATCTAATTAACTATATATGAATTAATTAAAATTTCAGTCAGTAAGTACGAAATTGAAATTTATAATCCATAATTAAAAAACTTCACTAATCAACTATATACGAATTAAATCAATTATATATGAATTAAATTATTAGAGGGTTGTGCGTGTGAGTATCAAGCTAATTTATTAATTTAAAATTTTAATAATTAAAATCTTACTAATCTAATTAATTATATATATATATTGATTAAAGTGACTTGAGGTGAGTAACGAAATCGAAATTTATAATTCATTATTTAAAAAAATCTTCACTAATCAATTATATACGAATTTAATTATTAGTATCTGTTTCGGGTGAGTATAACGCTAATTTATAAATTTTAATAATTAAAACCTTGTTAACCTAATTAATTATATATATATATTAATTTTAGAATGTGAGTACGAATAATTTATGAATTTAAACTTGTAATTATATGATCTATAATTGAATGGGATTTCTCTTAAATAATTAGCCGGTAGTATTGGTCCTTAACACTCATAGGAAGTATAAGAATGTAATTACAATGTAGGTTTTTAATAATATTAGGCATTTTGGTTTTGACACAAATTTGTTTGCTGATTGTAATTTTAAATTTTTATATTAATAATATCAGAATTATCAGCAGGATTATCAATTTTAATTTAAATCATATATTATTATTATAAAAGCTCTTAATGTTATTATAATTTAGAATTTATTAGTTTAATACTATAATGTAACAATTCTCTATAGAAAATTGTGTTCTAATTTAGAAAATTTTTATTAAAAAAAAACTTAAGAATTTATCCTTTTTGTTTGAGAAAAAAAATCTATGCAATCTTATGAATTACTTTTCAAACAACTTTCATTTCTATATATAATATGCGTATCATTTTCTTTTCTTTTTTTTTGTAATTGTCGGTTCGAAAAGTCATGACTTTTGTCCATCTACCTGATTGTCGTCCTGACAAACCAAATTTATGAATTAAATAAAATCCATCAGTAATATCTTTACTCTGAATCCATATAGCAGTCGTCACGACAAGTCCCTTTAAAAATCCAATTCTATCTCAATAAACCTTTTTTTCATTCTAAATGATTCAACTTATATCAAGACTAGAGATGGGTTTCATGCGTTGTGACAGTTAAGACTAGTGTCACCATATCCGAAATCGGGCTGAGTTCGGATATCGATATTTATCGGGCAGCTTACTATGATTTATCTCCCAATAATTTTATTATTGGGCAGAAATGAAAGTTTAAAATATTTTAAAATAGGTTAAACTATTGCTTCTGCCCAATAATTTTATTATTGGGCAGAAAATCATAGTAAGCAACCCGATAAATACGTTATCAGGCAGTGCCTGCCTGATAACTTATTATTATCTTTTTTTGGTATTTATTCTATTTTTGGCTATGATGGGTGAAGTTTCCTTTTAAGATAGTAATTCGTTGAATTTAGTAAATTTAGTAAATAAGTAGCTGCGCGACATTATCGCGAAAACCAGTAACGGATGAATGTAAGCCTAATTTAAAAATGTTGGACAACTCTAATACATAATAGTTATATAGTTTTGAATTCAGATAAATAAATATCGGATATACAACTAAATACCAAATAACTGTATAAGACGCTATAATTTTAACAAGCAAGAAATTCATAAGATTTTATGATGTATAGAGTGAAAAAAACATGCCAATCCACTATAATTTCCAATGTTAACCTTAATAATACATAACACCGGAACAGATATAGGTATTTCATGCCCCATATCGTACTGGTCTTGTCATACTTATCTGCATAATTTAAAATGTTTATGGCAGATGATAATTATACATACTAATTCGGATAAGAAGCTAAATGAGACGTGAATTGCTCACAGTAAATACAGTCAAACCTCCCTATAGTCACTCTCTATATAAGCATGCCATATAAAAATTCTCTTTATAAGCACATTTATTTTAAAACCAACTATTACAAACATATAGAAAAAAAACTTCTTTATAAGCACATCTTAGTAAAATTCTCTTTACAGCTCGGTCAACTAGCCCAAGCTTTTTTAAGATCACCTTCGGCCTATGCCTACTATTTCGAAATTTTATAATAGTCATATTTAATTTGGTTAACTTTTATTTTAATAATTCTTCACAGAACTTACTTGCTATTCTGATAACTAAGTATTTGGTTATAGTTGAATTAGCCTGCATTAAAATTAATCGTAAAAATTCCATTAATGAACATACTAATTTCAGTGATTACAATAAGTGATTATGTTTGTGTTAATTAAATTGGAATTATAAGTTACTACAAAAATTTTGTTACAGAACTTACTCTCTAATACATACACATAAGAGTTAAGCTTGTAGTAAAATTATTATGATTTATGATTTTTACTTGAAAGATTTTTACAAACTCATGATAACTATAATTTGTAGTTAAAATTGGTTAGAATGCATTATGATTTCTATGTGATTAAGGTCAAGTTAGTTGCATTAAAATCATGACTATAAAAATTCTGTTACAGAACTCATCTGCTATTTTGACAATCACATTATACACTCTTGTTTGATTAGAATTATCATAATTTTTATGAGTTAATACTGAGTTAGTTTGAATCGAAGTTATTGTGGCTACTATAAAAATTTTACAAAACTTACTTGCTATTCAGAAATTTTAATATGGTGTTGAATTAGTTTGCATTATAGTAGAATTAACATAAACTGTTATAAAAAAATGTTTTTTAAAAATGAGTATAACAAAGTTAAACCTGGAATTAAATTTTCAAAAGATGAAATTTTAGGCTTTTGCTTTGTAGTATTCAGATAATAAACAAATAACAACTGAATTACAATAATGTATTATCATACATGAGACTAAAATATTATAATTAAAATATAATTCCTGTATTGTGGCATTAATTCATAGGTCAATTATGAAAATACAATAATAATATTACTAAATAATCAGAAAGTTAAACAGAATCATCACCATTACATTCCATATAATTATACTAGTATAATATTGATTTTGCTAGCCCAAGCTATTGTAATTTATATAAGTTAATATGAACAAATTAGCACTAAGATTTTGTAGATGAATGCAGAATATGAATTAAACCATATACTATGATTCACTATATTTCTAGTACAACTAAAGTTACTAGCTACATTAATATTATTAAATATTGCAACTTTATTATATTATTAATTTATATATATAGTAAATTTTTAAGACATTTTATTTTATATTAACCTGATTGTAATTTATTTTTTAATTGTATTTATTCTAATTGTAATTAATTTTTAATTATATTTATCCTAATTGTAATTTATTTTTTAATTGTATTTATCTTGTTTGCATAATTTAGTACAATCAGAATTAATAGTTTAATGAATTAATCTACTATTAGTAATAATCAAATTTACAAAATATAAAATTACTGCTATTTAATTAGTAATTTTACTGATTGTAATATATTTATTAATTTAAGTTACTATATGACAATTGAAATTTGAATTAATAAGCTAATTCAAATAGGCTGTTCTATAGAAGCCTATTTTATTATAATTTCTGCTATTATCTGACTGCCATAGGCAATAAATAATCTAATCAAATATTCTCAAATCAGTATTTTATTAGTTTATAATAGGGATGCCTATTTGTATTTATTTTTATATTTTTCTACAATTAGTAATTATACTAGTTGAATAGTTTTTAACCTGTAAAAGCCAATCAAATTTTAAGATTAGATGTAATATGAAATCAAAACAAAAATTGTTTTTTTAAAAAATTATTAATAACACAAAATTTTGACTATAAAACCATCTTTTATTTTCTAACAAAAAAAATTTTTTATTAAATTTGATATAAACTATGCTCTTTTCTATTTATAGCCTCATTCTAATTCTAACCTTAAATGCAAAGTTTTAATTTTTTAAAAAAATTCTTTTAATAATTAAGTTTATTTAATAAGAGACTAGTGTGATGGGTGGCACATTCACGCCACCCATCTTAGTTTGTATTTTCAAGTTTTTTTTTTTTTTTTTTTTTTTTTTTTTAGAACAATTTTGCTAAAAGTGGAGTTATTTTGTATTTTTTTTTTTATTATATTTATTTTTAAGGGTTTTTTTAATTTTTTTATTTAACAAGGTTAAAAATGGAATGCTGAGGGAGTTTTTTATGTAATTGTATCGATTAGTAAGAAATGATTAAGTTGCAAATATAATGTCAAATTATCAAGAAGTTTGAGTTATTTCGATTGATGCTCGGCACAATCAAATAAAAATTTGATAGTCAAATACTTGTGATTAAGTCAGACATTAAAAAATCACAGATTAACCAATACTATATATATATATATATAGATATATATATGTAGTATTTGATTATTTGATGTCTGACTTAATCATGAATATTTAATTATAAATTTTCGTTTGATTGTGCCGAACAATAATATCAATTAATAGTATGTATATCTGAAATAAAGTATTTAGAGCATAAAAAAATTTTAACAAAAGGCATGCCCTGTGGCATGCCAAATTTTTTTGGTGTGCCAGACACCCTAAGTATGTGGCTAAAATTCATGTTTCCTATTATAAGTTACTGCAAAAATTCTGTTATATAAATTACCATTTTGGTAACTCAGTATGTAAATTAGTTTGCATTATTACTGTAAAAAATTTAAATACAAAAACTTATTTGCTATTCTATTGACATGGTATATAAGGTTGAGCTAGTTTTCATTAGAATTATTAATTTTTCTATCATGAGTTACTATAAAAAATTCTGCTACAGAACTTATTCACTATTCTAGTAATATATAATTTATGGCTAATATTATTTTAGAATTATCATGATTTGTATTATAAGCTACTGCTACAGAATTACTCATTATTTAATATTGTTAAGTGAGTTAGTTTATGTAGAATTATCATGATTTGTATTATAAGTTACTGTTACAAATTATTTATTATTTTAGTGGCATATAATATTGTTAAATGAGTTAGTTTATATAGAATTATCATTTTAACTTGAGTTACTGTAGAAAATCCTGTTTTAGAACTTGTTGCTACTCTAGTAAGGCATAGTATGTGTTAGTTTTAATTTGAAGTATTATAATTTTGTTATGAGTTATTGTAAATTTTGTTATAGCCTTACTCACCATTTTAATAATACACAATAAGTGGTTAAGTTATAATTTGTATTGGAAAAACTGTAGTACTATTGTGGATTATTGTAAAAAATTCTGATACAAAACTTATTTGCCACTCCAGTAACACACAGTATATGATTTAGTAGTTGTCGCTCAATTCTCTGAAAGCTATTTATCTGCCAACTCATTTCTCTGTCATCACAATGCCAACATGCTATTTTATTTACAGATGTTTTTTTGATAAGACATATATTTTTGATAATATTTTTCTTAATAAGACATTTTTTAATAATCATTTCTTTAATATAAAATTGGCTCGTTTTAACCTAATTAGAATTAGTGTTGGTTAGGATTATATGTCAGAAAATTATTGTCAGGGAAATGTATTGTCTAAGAAAAGGATTGTTGAAAAGATGCAATGCCAAATATATATTTTATCAAAAAAATGTGCTGTATATGAAATATTATGTTGACTTTATGGTGTCAGGGAATTAAGTTGGCAGGTAAATAAGTTGGCAGTTAAATAAGTTGGTGGGTAAATAACATTCAGGAAATTATGCTACAACCGATTTAGTATTAGAAAAATTCTGTTATAAAACTTACTCGCTATTTTAATAACACAGTAATATTAGAATTAATATGTTTTCTACTGTGAGTTAACTGTAAAAATTTGCTACAGAACTTATCCACTATTCTGGTAACATTTAAGATTGAGTTAGTTTTTATATTAGAATTATCATAATTTTTATTAGGAATTACTATAAAAAAACTTTGTTACAGAATTTACTATTTTGATAACATACAATATGTAAAGTTAATTTGTTTGGAATTATTATGTTTTTTATACAAAGCTTACTTGCTATTCCAGTAAGTAGTTAAAGTTGAGTTAGCTTGTATCAGAATTACGTGATTTCTAATATGAATTACTGTAAAAAATTCTGTTATAAAACATGCTATTTTAGTAACAATATAGCATGTAT